TACGGAGACTTGCCACGGTCTCCAACCCTCCTCCTTTCTCATCCGGGCTTGGAACCGGCCATGGCGGAGTATGGTTAAAGTACTGTTAAAAAGATTGGAGATCAGTGAATATTGCAGAATTTTCTGACAGCATGTCAACCCCGTGTAGCACCATTCGCAGAATACAGAGTCGTGCACTCGCAGTTTGCTATAAAACACGTAGAAGTACTCAGACGTCGGTAAAAGCATGAACAGCTTACCATCGCAGTAGACCTAAATACAGATTCTACACTTTTCACCAAGTGCAGATGTATCACGGGTATGCACTGATGGAGCATAAAGAAAATAGGCCCGTGGCGGGGTCCACCGAGCAGTACCGCGAAATGTCGATTCATGAAATCGCCCCGTTCTACCGTTCATGTCTAGAACGAGGCAGCGACGTACGAGTGGGTCACAGATCGATGTATCCGTTTAAGGAAACGACGATTCCTCCGACTACTTCCTTCTCTCAGCCTTCATCGTCACCCTCACCCTTGCCTTATTCCACCGACGCTGCCCCGCCATCAAAGAAAATTTCTGACGAAGATAGCGTGAAAGGGAACGACAGCGTTATGACTGTTTTTGGGCGGCGTTCAAGCATCGGCGAGGGGTCCACCCTCGCCTCGTTCAAAACGATTGGGTTGAGCTTGAGCGACGTTTCGCTCAGTCCCGAGAGTCGTAGTGACCGGCACGGCAAGCATAAGCCGAAAAGGAAGTTGTTGAAGTTGCTGTTGGCCGAGCGGACGAAGAGGAAGCTGCTCGAGCGTTTGCTTTTCGAAAATTCAGTGTCGACAGCTGATCGAATTTATCATGGCAAAGAGACGAACTCCAACACATCGATCGCTTCATCCTCCTTTACCCTATCCTCATCGTCGTCCCTTTCTTCATATTCTACCACCTCGACGTCCGTCGCCGACGGGGTGATTCTCTACCTGATCCGCAAGCGTCACAAACACGGTCAAACGAAGGGCACCACTTCCAGCTGCAGCGGCGCCACAACGTCTACCACCCTCACGGCTGCCCCCTCTTCGTCATCAGATTTTCAACACTCGGCGTTGAT